GGGTGACAGTGACGTGATGTGGTCAGAGAGAGTCAAGATAAGCAGCAAATCTATTAAAATCTTGTTAAAATCTTTTAAAATCTTCAAAATCCTCAAATCAGTTTTCTCCCCCTTGAGCACCCTACACCGGTAACGGTACCCGCAAGGCGGGGTATTCTTCCTTCCTTGCTAAATGACAATTTCTTTATAATATCCACCATCGAGTTCACGCTGAAAAATGGACTTTTTTTCTCGTTCGTTGATGCTCTCTAAAATCGAAGAGGGTTTTTTTTTCACTATGAAAATTTAACTTTAGTTTGCTTTTGAGTTCAGATTCATTATCAGTGCGAAAAAGTGCAGCCAACGACCTTTATTCGAGTGAAAACAAAAATTCGAACCGTTTGATCCGAAGGATGACTATTAGTTGGCCCCACCGTAATTGAACATAATCAATGTTTTTCCAATTTATAATTTATGAACATCAAAATAAAATTTCATTTTCACCAACTCACTCTAGCGGAGAACTGGATGGTATTGCTTAAGATCACGTGTGTGTTAAAATCAAATAGATCATGAATTATCACATTTCTATCTCTTCACTTTATCGGTTTCATTCGTTTTCCGGCTGACTCTTCCACAGTGTATTTTGACCAGTGTTTTTCCTACATACGCCTTCTTTTGCCATTCCCAAAAGGGGAGCGATAAGTTCTATAATTAATTTGAAGAAAGAAAGAAGAGAAGTTTATCTATAACATAAATTCATTTTGTGATGATGTTATCGACATTAAAAGTGTCGAAATACTAGTCGGTATCTTCTCTTGTAAACTTTCTACTCCCATAGGCATGTTTGTCTTTTCATTGCGAACAACTTGTTTTTCGCTGAATAGTTAATCAAACTCACTTTAGCAATCCTGTGTTTTCAACAAACAATGATTCGGAGAAAAGTTTTATTCGAGACATTGTTTGTGTCTTAAAACGTTTGTGGTACATGTCATTCGATACAGTTATCACCTTGATTTTTTATTGAAATATTTCACTTCACTGCTGAAACGGCGCCCCTGATGGACGGAGGAAGCAAGGGACGGAAAGCACCATTTCCGCTCAACTTGAAGTGAACTTAAAGTGATTTTGGATTGTTCCGACCGTTTCAGCAGTGTTTCACCTAGCTGAAGTGAAGTGAAATGAAGTGGTGAAATGGTGCTTTTACCCTCTTGGACTTCCTTCATCACCTCCACATCGTTTGTATTTTTAACTTCGTTTTATACGCCAAAAAATATTTTTGCTTTACGTCATGGTGTTTTCACGGGATACCGGAGTTTCATTAAAAGGAAGTTCATTAAAACTTTCAATGAAATTCCTTTACCGTTAAAAAAATATTTATGAAAACGGTCTAGGTCCCAATCACTTTGCAGGAGAGATTTTAATGAAAGTTCGATGAACGGAATAAAAGTTAAACACCAGAAAATAAGTGTATTTCAGATGATGATTTGACACAGTTACATAAACATGGAGATGTTATCAGGGTGTTCAAAGTTGGTAAACAATCAAATGTAACAAGTGGAAAATTGCACACAACTGGGGATATCATGTCTGAAGATGTATACCAGCATATACTTAAATATCAAAATAGATGTTATCTCGATATGCATAAAGAGGAAAAAATCCAAATAGTGGATAAAAAAGAATACAAATTTGATGACAATTGGTTGAAAAATCAATTGCTGTAAGTTCTGACCGCACTTTTACTTCAGAAGGAAAATTTGCTGACCTTATATTTGCACTTTCTAGTATAACTAGTCCTCAAGAAAATTCCGATCCATTTATGCTTAACGGCGATTGGGATTGTGTGGTCTTTGATAGTTTAGGAAAACTCTTTGGTTTAGGCCATGCCAAGATCAACAGGATTGATTAAGCCGTAGTTTGTCCCTTTTATGCGATAATGCAACATTTCAAAATCAAACTTCTGTAAGTAAACAAATCAAAGTGTCTTGCTGTCATGTACAACTCTTGAGTCTTAACGATTAATTTGTCGTTTTCTTTCGAGCTAAACTGATTAGATGACAACGAGTCAATATTCGATGGGAGAATTTGGGCAGTTAACTTTTGGTCATAGACGACGAATTTACCATGGCACATGTCAAGTAATGCTGATACAATTTTATTTCGGTAGTACTTTTCATAAGTTGTGGCCAAACTCTGATCATCTGAAGCTGAGGATTTGATTGATATCTAAATAAAAGTAGCGGTCATTAACTTCAAAAGGTAAATATAGCATACACGGTGTCTTGAAGAATGGCGTGAGCATTTTTTTGAATTCAGAAATATTTTTAGATCTCTGAAGATCTTTGCAGGGCCTCGAGAAAACCTTTTAGTTTTACATTAGATTATAAACCTTACACAAGAAATCAGAGAAAAATGTACAACGTATTTCAGATGGTTCACAAGCGAACGCCAACCGAAGGAAGGCATGAGCATTGTCGTGGATTCAAAAGTGACGGAAGGTCGTTCGCAGATATAAGTTCCTAAGTCAAGGGACCGAGCGAGAGACGAGCGTTACATTGTATAAAAGAAGTAATACTAAAGTGAACAAAGAAACTGTAGAACAACCAATCATTTTACTGTTTTTCATTGATAACACTCTTTGCCTTTATATACGGCCGGTGGGCGCATTAATTTTACGCATACGGATAAACTAGTGCCACCACGGCTCTGCTGATCTAATGATCGCTAACGCCCGAAAAATTTGACAAGCAACACAAGCAACATTAGGAACTTTGGTGCTTGCTCCGCACTGAACCAAATTGGATAAAAATTAGGCGCCAGATGCAAAATTCATCGGTGAATCCGACAGCGGGTTCTTTATAATTACATCTTCACTTCTTTTTTGGCGTAGACATAATCAACGTGGTTTTTGCCTAAATTTTATTTTGCTCATTGGTTGAAAAAAAAGGCGCCAATGAGAAAAATAAAATATAGGCAAAAACCACGTTGATTATGTCGACGCCAAAAAAAAGTGAAGATGTAATTATAAGGAATCCGCTGTCGGATTCACCGATAAAGGACAAGTGGCGGTAAGGTCATTTTTTCGCCCAAAACATTTAGGGGAAAAAACTATATGGTTAGAATCAGCATTAAATTCTGAACATAACGGTATATTTTTTTTTGAAAAAAAATAACTTTTTATTTTTTTTAATTTTTTTTGCCCTGGTGCCTGGAAAGAAAGTTTTTTTCGTTTGTTTTTCACTCTAATTTCATCTAGATATAGGTTATCGACCACGCTGATCACGAATATAAGACGTCTGGGATCAGCACTGCTACTGTAGTGACTAACAGATCTGCCTCAAATTGCTTCAGATGAAGAGAGAATTCAAAAAGATCTATATTTACAATATTTAACATCGAAAAAAAATTGATTTGGTCGATAAAGTACACTGAAAAAATGAAAATAACCTGATTTTATCAGGTTTTTTCCTACTTTCACTATTTTCCGCAACCTTTTTTTAAGTTTCAAGGTCATATTCGGAAAGAGCATGAAAAACTATGTCGATCTGTATATATAACTCATTGGATCAAAAACTCGGCATAAAAAAAATTAGCCTACATTGAGAACAATATAAGCCGTTGTTCCTGTTTTTTCCAGTTTTTAGCCAAAGAAACTGGAATTATACGTCTGTTGAGTACTCAATCTGTTTGGAATTAATGGAACAATCGTTTCTAGATATATATAAAGTATTATTGCTATTATAAATTGATTTTTAGGGTTGGAAGACAGTGATTTCTGAACAAAGGTAAAAAAACTTAGCTTTGTCAGAGGAGGCAGTTTGTTCATTCAAATCACATTTTCATGCAAAATAAACCTTATATTCGTGATCAGCGTGGTCGATAACCTATATCTAGATGAAATTAGAGTGAAAAACAACAGAAAAAAAAGAAAAAGTTATTTTTTTTCAAAAACAAATATACCGTTTTGTTCAGAATTTAATGCTGATTCTAACCATATAGTTTTCTCCCTAAATGTTTTGGGCGAAAAAATGACCTTACCGCCACTTGTCCTTTGCATCTGGCGCCCGATTTTTATCCAATTTGGTTCAGCGCGGAGCAAGCACCAAATTTTCTAATGCAAGTTCCAGGAAAGAGCAGAAGCGATAATTAATAAAAGTTGCCGACGAATAGAATGAGAAAGCGAAACTTTTGTTCAACAAAGTGGCATCACTCGTCCTCTTTGTCGCAATCATGATGCCACCCATCAGAAAAAAGACGCGCGATAAACTGCTCATTAACTGCTAATTTACACTCTGCACAAAAACTGCCAGTTGACAACCTGTTAATTGTCTAAAAACTGTCTAGTTTATTGGTCATTTTTAGGTCTGCAAAACTACTGTCCAATAACTGCCAGTAAACGGAAAAGCCAAAAACAGGTAATTAACTGTGTGGTTAACGGCCCATTTACAGACAGTTAACAGGTTGTAAACCGACAGTTTTTGGACCATTTCGTTTCTGTGGTAGTGTGAGGCCATGGGCTAGCTATATTTTTGTTTTGAGAAAATGCCAGTTAACCGACTGTAAATAAGCTGCAAGAAGGTGATTAAAGGAAACAGGTGTAGTTTGATGTCTTCGAACATTTGAAGATTAGAAACCGAAGGTAAATGGATTTATCAGTTTGTTACACTGTAAAACTAAATCCACCGTGCAAGTTATAAACATAGTTTTTTAGCGACTAAACTTTCCATAAACAAACATTCGGAAAAAGCATGCCCCGACTGAGACTCGAATCCAGGACATCGGTTAACAAGAGCAAATGTTTAGTCATTAAAAAACTATTTTTATAACCTTCATAGTAAAAAGTCCTTGTTCATTCTTAAACTTAAATCCGCTATTCTGTGTCTGTGTTGCACTAAGTTGTGCAATCGACTTGATCTTCTCAGTAATATGTGTTTCGTTTTCTGAAATTTATTACTTTATTTGTTAAATTCCGACGAAACGCTTTATAATTACAAACAGACCAGTTCCTTGTTATGCTCTCAAGCTAATTCCACACTTGCAAAATATTTTAAATCGGCCATTAATCGAATCATTTCTTTCAATTTTATATCCATATGACGCATTGTCTGCTCTTTCAATTCATCATAAGTAATTTCGTGAACATGCATTTCTCGTTCCCAACTACGAGCATCTATTGGATCACATCGTTCGGTTGCATGAAGCACACCAACGACAGCACCTTGTAAACACCAATGTCGGTTCATAGCTGGATTTATCCATTTCATAAGATGTGAAGTTGAGTTATAAACAAATTTGGCTATATTAGTTGAGTTATATTCAACGGCATGCACGTTAAAGAAGACATCATTTACGATGGACTCGCGTACAATTTTCAGACATAAAGAACGATCACCGACCGTACGAATAATTCGATCTGATGGCGTATACAAAAACAGTGTTCGATTCGAATGACAATTTTCATAACCCGTTTCTCGACTCTGTGCACCATAATGAAGCTGTCCTGAATAAACAGACAGAAAGAGACTGAAGAAAACAAAATTAAGAATGCCATATTCTTACTCTTGCTCTCAGCCATTGCACAACGAGCGTTATCGAAATTGTTCGGTGAAGATGGCCATCGAAACATGAGCGAATCAGTACATAAGACAATTGCTGTAAATAGAGTATAACTAATGTAAAAGTCATCATTGTTTGGTTCAGTTGCCGCCCAACGCCTAAGTTATAGTGTAACTGCTAAACTAGTAACCTGAAATGTGTGTGTTACTTTACGGTACCAGTAAAAATGCTCCACAAAAGTTTAAGACACTTTTTGTTTTTGCAATAACTCAACTTCCTTGATAGATACAGACTCCGTTCTTTCGCCAAAAGAAAGCCTATGTTGAGTACTATAAACCCTGAGAAAATGGTTAAGTTCCGGCTTAATTTGACTGAGCTAAAGCAAAAACGCGGTGTTTTACACACTTGGAAAATCTTACTTCCTGAGTATTTCACGTTTCCTAATCAAGAGAATTGCGCGAAAAAAATTCAAAAATATATCATTCGATAGAAAAGTTTACGGGCTATTCGTTGCTGATCAAACTTTCAGTTATTGTATTGTGTAATGTATAAATTCGTTCTTTTCTGTATACTTCTAGGCATGCACTAACTTGAAGATACCGCTTGTTTCATATCTGCTTTTAAACTCTCAGACATGATGTCATTTGTCGAATACTAAATAACGGTTATGACAACGAATCTTGACTTGAGGATGGGGATAAAGCAGTCAGAGTGATATAAAAAACTTGCAAGTGGCAGCTAGCACGTGTACATGTTCTCTGCATCCACTAAGTATCAGACATAGAGCAGCTCGCCATACTACAGGGATGTAAAGTATATTTTCCATTTGGTCTAATGTGAAACATCAGACCCACCTAAAAGTCGTCTTACATAAGATCTGATGATTTTTTATCCAATTTTGCAATGAATACCTCGACTCCATTTTTTCTAAAGTATAATTGGTGCAGCACTTGTCGAGCAGTTTTAGAGTTAATGCGTGCCAAGTACTTGGAAGAACTGCCGATACTTGCATATATTTCGCGCGTACTTACCAGGTTACCTGCCAAATACTTAATGAAGTACTTATCCAGTACTTATACTTGTTAACTTACTTGCTAAGTACCTTTCTTACTTGCAAAACACTGCAGGTACTCTAGACATTACTTATCCAAGTATTTTTCTAAGTACTTGTTCTCACGTACATTGACTAGGGCTTTAACCAACATTCTTATGAAATCTTGTCAGATTTCATATGCTCTTGTAAGATCTTATGGTGTCTTGTAATATAAATTACAAGATCATATTTCAAGATTCTTCACCCTGAAAAGCTACATATTTCTTATATGTCAAATTAAAGCTTATTTTAATCGGACCTCAATGGCATAGCCTTTTGTGATAAAAAAAAGTATGATGTTATGTATGTTCGACTCCGCGTTTACCGCTCCATCCGGATGTATTAAATGTATAGGACCTTTTGGATACTTCATTGTTAAAATAAAAGCCTTCATTTCGTCGACTAAATGATATCAAAATCTTTGCTGACAATTTTGCAATTCATTTAATTTGTACCTGATGTTGCTCTTCTATGTTTTTTTGATTTTAATCGAAAGAGTATGAATGATGTATTGAAAAAAGTGTAGTGTGTAGCTCCTGAACGAAGTTAAATATCGAAAAGCGGATTTCTGATGAACACTCGTCACACTCTCACCAGCTTGGCGAGCTTTCTATATTCAAAATGGTGCTTAGGTGTTGAGAACGAGTGACTGACTTGAATCGTGACTCATGTATCGAGAAGAAGAAAAAGTAAGAATTTACCATGGTAGCTAAACGGCTGAAAAGCAGTAAGTCGCACATATTGTGCCGTGTTATTATTGATTTGTGTACGGTTTCGATACGGCTTCAAAATAAATTCATTATTATTAAATAAAACAGAAAAGAAAAAAATTTCATTAGTTCACAACTATCGTTTATGCGATGCCTGCACCTAAAAATGACGCTCCATTTAAATGTAGTTCAAGGTGACAAAACAACCGTCATATTCAATTACATTCTCTTTAACATTCATTAAGCATGACTTTTGTTTTTGTTATTTTTATTGAATCTCTCTCTTTATTTTGAGTGCGTCGCACACACGTTTCGAAGAGGAATAATGAGTGTAGATTTGAGCTAAGGTCTTTCCAGCCGATTTCCAACCACCAACAATCGAAGTCAGAAATCAATGAGTACACAAGCATACTGTATCAATTCGAATAGACAATAGCTTAGTAACAACAAGAATAAATGTACATCTGTGATACTTTTAACAACCTCTTAAATTACATATTTTGTTACTAAGATATTGGACGCTGTACTAGTAATTTTTTTGTATCATGAGGTGATTTTAACGTATATCTTCACACTACGTATAAAAAAATTAAAATTACTTTTGCGGTGAATAGATTTCTCTTGATTCACATCATCATATTGGTGATGTTATTCTGAGAAGGACATAGCTTGATTTAAGGAAAAATTATGTAACAACTCTCGATCTTCAGAAACATCAATCTAAAATAAAAAGGTTGGCTACAAAAAAAGAAGAAAAAGTACTATCAATAAGAGCGTTATAAAGACTGATGTTTCTGCAGATTGAGAGTTGTTACATCATTTTAAATCAAGCTATATCCTTCTCAAAATAACATCAATAATATGATGGTGCGAATCAAGAGAAATCTATTCGCCGCAACAGTAATTTTTTTGGTACATAGTTTGAAGATATTTTTTCGAAGATACTAAACAGGTGTTTAAGAAGAGCTCTGAGTGTAGAAAGAAAGGTAATTTTTTTCGTAAGAAAGGAGTTGAAAGAAAATTCTTTTATGAACAGGTAGACCACGAGCTCTACTTTCAGAATATTTATGATTCATTCCTTCACTCTTTCTACCTTCTATGGAAAAATGCACTTTTCTAAAAAATAGCAGACCTTTTTTCAGGTTCTAGATTTTTCAGGTACGTCACAGAGTCCAAAAAAAGTTTCCGGATTAAAAAATTCGTCATTAGTTAAAATATATTGGACATTATTCACGTATCAAAAATCTCATTTGCATTTTTTCACGTGATGACCACGTGATTGTCTACTGTGCATGTGACACAAGATAAGAGAGAAAGAAACTTCACGATTTTAACATTATTTTGGAAGGTCTGCTTGAATCGAAGCCTGGATTTAACCACCATATGAAGGAAGGAATTCTGTTTCGGTCCAATAGAAAAGAAAAAGAAAGGCGAGAAAAAACTATAGTAGGACACAAGAAATAAATCGAATATATTTCGATAATTAAATTTAGAAGGACGCTAATTACATAATATTTTCTTTTTCTATTGGTGCTAACTGTCATGGATTCTCTCAAGAAAAGAATAAAAAATTAAATTGTTCTAGCAAATCCCTTCCACAGTACCTTATTCTTGCACTTTTTGAGCAGAAAACAAGTGTTTTGACACAATATACAATTCCTGCAGCTCGAATCTCTTAGTTTTGTATACACACAACTGTTATGTAATTGAGAGTAAAGTGATATCGGAATTTAATGACAAGCATTTACTACCATTTTAATTGGAAAGAACTTTGCAATACCAGCATAAATCCAGATTTCTAAGTTCTCTGTCTGTCAAACCTTTATAAACTTTTGGCAAAAACGTAAAAGAATTTTACTTTTTTTTCTTGTGTAACTTCAAAATCTTTTCTTCAAAAATTACTACGTCATTGAAATGCACTTCATAATCAATAGGAAAAACACGAGCGGACACTCAAAACGCGAGAAGAACGAAGCACCATTCGAAGACGGCTGTTCACTGCAACACAGATCATCACCTCTCACCGGTGGTACACTGTCATCTTCTCCGTTTGGATCATAACTACGCCAAACGCGTCGTTTATTTCTCGGTTGTGGTTCACGAAAATCTTGTTTATAGATAACATCATGCAGCTCCTTTAATTCTTCAAATGAAAAATCAATTGGTTTTTTAAATAAAACAAATGTAACACTTTCACTACATGGTGGAGTTGTTAGACTACCATCATACTGCCAATATTCTGTTAGATTTTCATTCATCAGTGTTAATAAAGTTGTACTTATTCCGACTGTATCATTCACGTTTTGGAGTTTAACTGCCTGTTCTGTGTACTCATACCAGAGTTGTTGTTGCGGTGGCTGAGTCGTTACAGTACTAATGTTCGCTGCATTAATAAAAAATCCCAAGACAATACTGTGACTCTTAAGATTATTCGTATGTACGAAATGTGCTTCGCCAGCATATTTATTACCATTCAAATAATGTTCACTACCTTGTTTTGGATTTTGTCCCCAATGTAAGTGAAAGCTGTCAAATGAATAGGTACCCAGATCACTGCGATTGAGGTAGAGAGGAAATTTGTCACTGTAGGAGGCTGTAACAATTGTATGACCATTGTTTTGCAAAGTGAAAGTGAGTCGCTCGGAGAAGGCAGGTGAGAAGTGGAAGGGAGGAAATTGTTGGTAAGTTGTACAGGAGGTAACAATATTAATGGGTGATTGTCGCTGTCCGCCGCAGCTTGGAAATTGTTGATACCACATATCTGGTCCAAGCTCGGCGTAATCCCATTTAGCATATATTTCATCTATATAACAATTAAGAATGAAATATGACGATAGGAGGTGGAAAATAGTGATGTAGTTGATAAAGTTTATTGGTGGCA